CCCCCCCCCCCCCCCCCCCCCCAACACTTCCCGCCGAATCAAGGAGAGGAGCGCACCCGGCACGACGTGAAATGGCGGGGGAGAGTTGAATGGACCCGGGGGCAGGCAGATTCCCACATCACTCTGACACACAGTTACTCGTGCTAGACGAAGATAAAATGACGAAAATGAAAATACGCGGAAACGGCACCGTCGGTACGGCGTCACCTCCCAACATACCCATGCTTCCGCACCGCCTCGGAAAGTGCTCAGGTTGTGGCGGCGTCGATGCGCGGTACTTGTGAAATTCCAGGCCACTGCAGACAGCACTTACCCAAGGTACCTTGCCAAAAAAGCACACGCGCTTAACTTTCCGTTTGCGCGTCTATTTACTACTAAGACGGCATTCCAAACGCGCGTGCTGCCTTTTCGGCAAATCCATCTCATCGTCCATTTTTCTTTTCGAGCCTTGTGCAGGGGGCCCCACGATGGGGGCCTCCCCGTTTGATAGGCGCGGTTGTTTTGGGGAGCGGGGGCATGTACACATTCTTTGGTGCGTTTGTTTTTCATTCGGTCATATCAGGCGCGCGGTTAAGCTGGAAGAGAGACGAATCGGGTCGGTGGGTCCGCCGTAAACGCATCCAGGTCGCCCTTCTTGTGTAGTTTAGCGTGCAAGCTGATAAGGGCCCCTCTGAACTTTCTCTTCAGCGGGTGTGTGCGGGAAGACGGGAGGGAGGGAGGGAACAGGAAAGTATCACAACTGACAGTAAAAAGCAAAGAGGGCCCGGCGTGCCAGCGTTGTGCTGCAGGACGCCATGACCGTCTGGGGGTCGGTCCTGAACGGTAGCGGCGGCCGTTTGCCGTTGTCAGGGCGGTGGGTGGCAGGGGCCGCTGGCACCTTGTCGCGAAACGGGCCGTTTTCTAGAGCCCCACACCTCTTGTCAAATGCAGGCCCCGGACTGGCTGCTGAGGCTCAAGCACCTGGCAAATACTGGGCCCACTTTGGACCCGACAGTTTGGTAAGGCTGAGTGGGCTGGCCTCCTACTGGTCCGGCCTGAGTCTTTCCTTTGGACCCCTCTGGTCGCACCGCCCCCGGCCCCGCAACATTCCCTGCCTAAATTTTCCTGTCTCCCACCCCGTTCGGTCTTTGCTCGTCTCTCTTTTTTTTTTCCAGTCTTTTTTACATTTCGCGCGCTGGTCGCCCGGAGCGAGGTGGTAGGACCTGCGTAGACCCAGCATCGGCAGGTTCCTCCCTCACACACCCCCTTCGTCGTCCTTGGCGTGATTTGGTCCGGTATGATCAGGCCCCTCGCCGCAGGCATGCATACGTCGGGTAGACGTGTCAATCGACGGAAATGTCGGCAGCGAACAGAGGGGACGGACGGACATGCAAGCGGCCCCATGCGCATTCTCGCCGAACAGGCAGGTCTGCATGCCGCTCCGGCCAGGCTCCCCTTGCTGCCCATGGTGGAGAACAGAAGGCGGACGGAATCGGAGGCTGAGCGTTCTGCACTTCTCGCTCGACCGATTTTGCTTGCCAGATTGAGCAAGCCATCCGCATAGATTGACAGAGGGCCCCATCGCAAACGCCTCTTGGAATCCCACATTGGCCCGCAACCCGGGTGCACTACCCGGCCATCAAGCCTCAAGGGGTGTTTCTTCTCCCCCCGGCAAGACGGCCGGGGGGAGGGGGGTTTGCTGCTTGGATCCAGGCCTTTACCAGATCGAACCACCGGCCTTGGGAGCTTTTTTATTGCCAAAGAAGAGAAGGAGGGAAAATCCCAGCCGCTCAAAACCATGGGTATCGCTGCTTTTGCTCGCTGCCCGTTCCATCCGGCTGCCCTCACCCTTTTTAGCACTACAACGTCGCGCCCCTTGACTAGCGGCGGGAGATAGCCGTGGGCGGACGGACAGAGGCACGCACCCACGGTTTAATCTTCTGTCAAATCAATAACACAACATGGTATCCGCCAGATATTGGTCTCGCTCGCTCTCTCTCGCCATCATCGGCTCCCTCTCCCCCCACCTCGGCACGCAGGCTGTGCAGAGGGTACCTGGCCGTCTGCCTGCCGACATGTGGCGTGCGCATAGTAAGGGGGGCCCTTGTTTCTTGGGATTTTCTGCATGGTCCTCTTGGCATACGACGGTAGATTTTTTTCCCCTTCTCGTTCTTGCTGCTTGTGGCCGGTTGACTCCTTCCCTCCCCGTACCCCATCGGTGTTGTCACTCCAGTGAGGAGTTCCCTTCTCTTCGCATTTTTCTTTGGTAAAGTGAGCGCGCGCGCGGGGGGCGTGTGTGGACCAGTAGCAGCAAAGGTGACGAACGCCGGGATATGCACACCAAGCACGCCCGCCCACCGTTGATTCGCTCGAGACCGAGTCGTTCAAGTCACGTCACGTTGCTGTTTTCGCAGAGGTTTTTGGGTACCTGCGCGATCCGATCGCGGTCTCCCACGGCCTTCCGCAAGCCACCCGCTCGCTATACTTTTCTTACAACGATCCATGTTCTTTTTTTCTTTGCTTTTCCGTGTTTATTGCTGTCACGTTGGGCATTGATTTTCACCCATTTCCCTACCGCCAGGAGGAGCCGCCACATCCTCAATCGCCAGTGTTTACCTATTTTACTTGCCATGGGGCGAAAGAAATCCCTGAACAATGAATAGAGGTGGCTTCTTCGCCGTTACCTCGAGGTGGGGAGCATTGCGTGCTCCATTTCAAGGCTTTGACAGGTTTGGCTGTGGTGCCACGATACAATCTCAACGATCTGGTGGACCGAAATGCACAGGCGGGGGATTTCCGTCAAGGAACGATGACGCCTGAGAGATGGAGGAAAAGGGAAGGAACGAGAGAGGGCAGATTTCCACACAGCAGGCACCATCCGGGGGTGGCCCCTTTCCTCTGCGTTCTTTCTTTTTTTATTCTTGCGATCCAGTGGCTTGGCCCAGGTGACTTGTTTTTTTTTTTTTTACCCACAACACAAGTCCCGCGCATGCATTTGGATCCAATTTGCCCACCATGAACATGGACTTAGCATTTTTTACCCGCCTCCAAAGGCTGGCGTCGCGCCGGCTCTCTTCAGGGGACACCTAAAGAAAGGCCAGCGGGCGAAAACAGCTCACTCGTCTGCTGTCCCCAAGCGCCGGGCTAGCACCATTTCGCGCTTCAATTTGATCCCAATCACTTTCACCCGCGCCTGGCAGACACCGGCTCATCCCCGGGCCCTTGAGCCGTCGCGGAGCAGAGCCTCTTCCTCTCCTCCCTCCGAGTCCAAGCCGCCCTCAATCGACAAGCTGCGGTCCCACCGTCATCCAGAAGTGGGCGTGTGGGGGAGGACGAGCGCCAGCGTGCAGGGTTCATGGGGGAAGCCCTCAGAGGTGTCAAGATGCCAGGGTGTGTGCTGCCTTCTCGCTTTCCTCGGCATTCCGGCCCAGCCTGTCGCCCAATCTCAATGTTTCCTGCCCTCTCCCGTCTTGCGGCTCTTTCTGTTTTGCTTGCAGTTTTTGCTTGCCCTTCGTGACTCCCAGAAGCTCCGAGTCTGCTCTCCCTGGCCCAGAGCTTCTCGCTCCATCCGCACCTTGCGCCGCGGCTGTTTTCTCCGGCGTGCGCCATGGCTTTCCCGTCCGCCTTGCACCCTAGCCCTAGCCCTGGGCCTTTTCAAGCCCCTTCTTCCTCCCACACGCACACACACACACACACCTACCTTCCTGCGCATCTCCAAGCAGGCCTACGCATGTACTAAGGCCCTCGCACCTATCAGCAACAGGAAAAGAGGCGCGCGCACGCGGGCCAAGGTGCTAAGGCACACTAAGTTGTGTCAATCTGGGATAGCCCTATGCTGCTTCCGTCACTAGCGGAGCACGCTGTGCGGAACCCCCCGAGCCCTGGTTGGCCCCGCCCATCATTGCCTTATCCGTCCCCTGGCTGCCAACGACAGACGGTACAGGCCATGGACATAAATTCCATGTACATGCCACACCGTTCTCGTAGTCAAATCCCACCCCGGAGTACATACACAGCCAGGTACATGCATGTATACATGGCCTCCTCCCCGATCTTCCTTCCCTACCACCTCCTTTCCTTCAATTCTTCCCCCTGTATTGTGCCTCTACAAACCTCAAATGTTGCCCTGCAGAATACGAAATGCCTGTTCCGTTATTTCCCCTCAACGTTAAGCTAAGGACAGTTTTCGGCACTGCACCGCATCCCTTGCTCTCGCCCCCGGCTGCTCTCCACTCTGGACCGTTTTTGAATTGAACGGCTCCGTTTTGCCAGGCTGTATCTCTTTCTCTCTTCTTTTTTTGTGTCAATGTTTCTGGGTTGTGCGTTTCCTCCGCCACCACTCTGCCACCGTAGCCGCGGTTTCGCGAGTATGGAATGTTAGGGCTTCTATGAGTAGATGCGTCTTTGATGCGCAAACTCGGGATTCCGATAACTCTCATGAGCTGACGGCTCGAGATGGTCAGAGCTGGAGAGCGCCAGTATCAGACATTCCATCTCGCGTGAGCTGGCACCCTGTCCGTGTCAAGTACAATTTTGGTCACAAAGATAGGTACTAGCCATGGTGGGAGGGTACGTGCTACCTGCATGGATATCATGTACTCTTTGCCGCGCCTGTCGAAACTCATGAACGGAGCTCAATTCTTCAACCCAGCGATGCTACAGCACATTCTGCGCGGTTAGCACATGCAGGCTCGATTTGCCATCCCCACCAGCAGGCGGCCAGGTTGCTCGTGGTGGCCGTGGCCGCCCCTTGTTGTCCAGACGGTGCCCCACTCCACCCCCCGGGAAAGGCCCTCCAGGCACCCTGGAGCGCTAAGTGCTAGGAGGTTCCTTTTGCTGTTCACCCCCCGGGGGGAGGGCGTGTTCGTACGCCCTCTCCATGCTCAAGCGGGCAAGCTCGTGGAAGATGGGCAGGGGACCACAATTGCGTATCTGCTCTCCATCTTGCTCGATACATATACTAACTTCGTCGTCGCTCCTCTGCCGCGTCCCTCCATCGACGCTTCTCAAGAACATCCTCGCCCTCACGGACCAAGACGCTCTCAACCACGTATTTACATCTTATCCTGAGCCTCACGCTTTCTTGCGGCTCTGTGTGATTCCTCTTTGCCTCCTATCCCGCCCTCACCTTTTCTCATATCATCAAGGGTCCGCGTTGGCGTGTGCAGCAGCATCGACAACCCACAGTCCTTGTTTGTCTCTACCTTTCCATCTCGCAGCCAGGAATCTACCGTGGGCTCATACAAGAGAAAGGGCACCCGCCTTTACACCCTGCCGTTTCGCCGCCAGAAGCTAGATGTGCCAGCCAACGGCGCAGTTATTCACCGGCATCCCTCCTCACCCAGCACTCAGGGAGCAATCTGAGGCGGGTAGATATAACAACTCGCACCGCCCACGCCCCATGGACATCAAGGTCGCTATGGGGAATCCTCAGTGCCTGGACCCCCAGATTGAAACGAGCATCGATCTCGACGAACTCCTCTACAACGGACCACCAACATCCCCTACCACATTCTCCGAGCTCAACTACACCTGCGTATGTAGGAACCCCGCTGCTGCCTGCGGCCACGTTATGGCTCCCTCCAGGGGCACTGTAGCTTACCATCTCACAGACATCCCCTCACGGCTACACGGCCGCACCGATGGACCCAAGCCTGTTGACGCCCGTGTCGAGCATTGCGTCGCCTCCTCACCAGCACAGGATCATTGACATAAACGCCGGGTTTCCATACGGCGCTTCCGAGGAGGTCCAGCACTCGTCTCCGGCTTCTGACTGCTCAAACATGTTAATGCAATACGACATGGGTGTCACCACCCAGTCGCCAGCATCCATAACCATCCACGCGCCCGTGACTGAGAGCCTATTCGACAGCAACATGGTCTCTTACAATATGCCCGCGTCGCCCGCCGCCGAAGCCCCAGAGCCCAGCCAGTATCACCTCGGCCCTTATGACATGTCCGAGCCCCAGCATGACCGGAACTACCACTTTTCCAACCAGGCCGTCGTGGCCGCAAGCAGTCTCCCAGTCGGCGCAGATACCTATGGCCAACGCCCTCTGCCGTCCATGACGCCCAACCAGTCCAACCTGATGGATGGCCAGGACTCGATTTCTCTCCAGCCCTCGAGGAACATCTCCCCAACGCCTTACCACCAGGACTTCCACGGTCTCTCTAAGGACCTGCTCCCGCTCCCCACCAAGCGAGAGCGCAAGAGGTTCCCGAAGATGCGCAAACCCATACGCAAACCCGCACGCAAGCCCGACGTCTCCGAGCGCGGCGCGGCCGGCCGCTCCTCGGTGTCTGGCCCGCCGTCGGTGAGCACCTGCGACGCCACCGCCGCAGCAGCAGCCGGGCGCGACAACCGCACGGGCAAGACCCAGCTCGCCGCCGCGGCCGCCGTGGCGCAGGGGCTCAAGGCAGGCATTCCGACGCTAGTGCTCAAGAATTCGGCGCCGGCGGACCTCAAGAGGCTGCTAGAGCTGCGTAAGGAGTTCAACAACGACAAGGGGAAAGGAATGTGGGACGACATCACAAAGGCCTACAACGCCGAGTTCGGCACGCAGTACGGCGACGAGCACGACCGCGCCAGGCTGCAGATGAAGCTCACCCGCGGCATCAACCGCTACGCCGAGCTGCCCAAAGCCGAGGTTTGTCTTGATTCCATCATCTCTTGCTTTAACGCTGTGGCGCCTCAAGATGCTAACCGCAAGACAACGCCCATAGGAACTGCGCATAATCGAAGCATTCGAGTACGACGAGAAGCACAAGTACGAGCGCATCTGTGCGCGCCTGGCCGAGACGGGCGGCAGCGATGTGTGGCCGTGGAAGCCGGCGCAGATCGAGGGCCACCTGGTGGTCCTGGGCATGGAGGAGAAGGTGGTGGACGAGAAGAACAACCTGCGCCGGAAGCGGCGCGAGGCCCAGCGCAAGCGCAACGCCGCCAACGCCATGCCCGTCGCCCGCGAGTCGGTCGACGGCATCATGGTCGAGTGGGTCAGCAACACGAGGCCCATGGCCCTGCCCGGCAGCAACAACGGCAGCCCCAACATCACCCTGCCGTCGCAGGCCTACCAGTTTGTCGGCATGGGGGGCATGAGGCGCCCGTCCGCCTACGACATGGCTGGCGCCGCGCCGCAGCAGCAGCGGCAGGTCATCGACGCGCACTTCTTCTCCAACGAGGACCACGACGACGTCATGAAGCAGCTCGAGCAAAAGTACTATGCCAACGGCGGCGACCCTGACGACATGGCCGGCAGCCCTGCCATCAATGCGCAGCACCACGCTCACCTTGAGCACCAGACCCAGTACTACATCCAGGAAACCAAGCGCGAGGCATACTAGAATCGAACTTTTTTTTTTCTCTTTTTACTTATACCCCACATGTTTCCTCTTCTTCCTCGCACATACTTTTGGCATTACCCATGTTCCCTTTTTTTCCTGCCACGGGCGGTTTTTGTGTTTTTTTTTCCTGCTGCTTTTCTACTCACTTCGCTTCTAACACGCTCTTGAGCTTTTCTTCCGGCAGCTCAGAGCAGTAGGGTCATCCCGTTGGCATTCCTTGCCAGTCATGTCAGGGGTTTGGTGTTTCTATAGCTCTTCTCCTTGGCTAGCTTACGACTTTTTTTTCGAGGACATCTACCCATCTTTCTTTGCCTTGTTTTGGTTTTCATTTTGTTTTGCTCGGGAAATGATATCAAGGACGTGATTTAGACTGCAGGACGCACATTCCTCCCCTCCAAAGGGCCCTTTCTCTCTCTCCAGTTTCACAAGAAACGTATAAAAATCTAGCCGTTTTTCTCTAATGCCCTTTTTGCCGCATGCGCTCCTTGTTCCCTGTATTGGAATGTCTTGGCTTGTGCTCTCTTCACGCATTGGGCTTCTCTCCTGGGACACATCTGCGCGGGCAAGGAGGGACTGTGGAGCGACCAGGGCGTGGAGGGACCACCATTGCTTGCTTTTTTTTCTTTTTTTTTATCTCCCTTGGTCTCGTTTGTGTTCTTCCAACTCGGGCGAGGCGCTTTTCCTTTCTTTTTCATGATACCACGAGGAGACAAGAGACGCCTTCCAGCAAACCTAATTCAACCTAACCCCCTTACCTAGCCAGCCGCGGGGCCATTTCTAGGCCCCGGCGTTTGTACCTCTCTTCCCTATCCGCTTTGACGTGTTTGCCGTATACTTCGTTTCAGGGGGGATGGCCCGGTACCTCTGTACTCGGGGGAAATGGTTGGCGCCCTCTGCGGGATGGTAGGCGCGCTCAAATTACAGCGCATTCCCCTCGACAGCCATACAGGAAGCGAGGAAACGATCTTGCTTGCCCGGCTACCCCAGCCCCATGGCAGAAGCCCTGTTATCCGTCCGCCTGGCTTATCCGTGCGCAAGAACCGAACATCGCGAAATCACCCAATCATCAGGCGAGGCATGATCCGTCATTCCGTCTGACACCTTTTTCTTTTCATCCGTTCCTAGGGAGGGAGGAAGGGATGCCTTGCATGCTGCCGAGAATTTGATTAACGGGTAGAAGAGGCGCGGTTGGGCCAGGGACAGACACCTCCAGCCCTACCGGGAGAATGGAAATTGGACATTTTCTGCTTTCGCAAGATGGTGGCTATCCTGGGAGACAACACAGCATGGGCTCGTTCGTCATGGCTGAGGCCGCAGGTAGGACAAGACATTAGGGCTACCTCCAGACGCGGGTCCTCGAATTTAGGCAAGCAATGTTCCTTTGCCTTGTGTGACCCAGTGGGCCTCGATGGCCCCC